TTTTGTACCAAACACTATTAAAATAAAATAAAATAATATAAAATAAAATAAATAAGCAATGTGGGTATACATTTATCGATTGTCAGTGATCAAAGTTAAATAATATTGTTTCTTTAAAATTATATCCGTCTCTAATTAGTTGTAACTAATAACTATCATCAAATATATTTGGGTTTCCAAAATAATAAAAGTGTCGCGTAAAACTGAATCACCAAATGATATGGGGACTAAGTGATGATTATGATTTAATGATTAAGAAAATTGAAGATTAGTAACACATCTTAACTTGAGGTGACAGAACATAAAATAATTATGTTTAACTACTATAATACATACCTTGAAAGGTTGACAAAATTTTCCCGAACTACATTTGTTTGACCCAAATGAAGTCATTCGAAAGCAATTGTTATTAATTGTTGGATATTTGTCAAAAAGAGTATGGAATCTGTTCCTATTCCTGAAACCAATGAGTACAATGGCTCTCTGGTGTGGTTCCAATAGTATCAATCATCCTTACCATTTGCGCAACATAATCCATTAGCTTCGTTTTTAAATTTCAATGCCTTACCAATATGAGCTAAAACGAGTTCATAGAACCAATAACAACACATTGGTAGTTTTACTGTAGTCAACTGACACATCGTATTTGAAAGCAGCTCGATTCATACTTGGGCGATTATTAGTTGAATGTATTGCTCGCGCTTCACGCGTTAGTGATATCCGAATTCTTTCACGTTCATTTTCGGTCGTCACGTTCTTGTGCAGCATGATTAGATCGGTAATTAGCTTTGGTTTGTAGGATTTAGGGTTCTTCTACCTGAATTGCTGTCGGTCTAATAAGAGCACATCTTATATTATAATAGTTTCGGAACGCGACATTAAATCCTCCAACCATGTATACTGTGCTCCAACGCACACACGCACACTGTTTTGATAGATATGATTGAATTTGAACATTGTATAACGGTAAAATAAAGTGCATATTGTAGGGTTGCCCACCTTGCCGATTCCTGAAAACACGGGAGACGGCTGCGATGGGGGGGTAATTAAATATTTAATTCGCTAAATAAATGTGTATGTGAGTGAGAGTTAATTTATAAAATTAACTTACTTCATTCTATTATATCAAATATAAATAAAAAATAAATGAGAAAAGAATATTTGCTAAATTTTATAACTAAATTAATCTATTATGTAGTGTTTTTTAACATACCTTTCTATTATTCATTTCTATATACGAATTACAAACTTTTCGGAATGTTCTTAAAATGTTGTTCGCTCAAATAAAATAACTGTCTATGTATTCTAAACAAAAGAAATTATGATAATTATTTTAGGTTATAGAGATAACGTTAAAACAATTTTATGTAAAACTTATCGTATAATTATTCGTTTTAACATTTATTCAAATTTTATTGTATATCGTAAAATTCAGCCTTTGATCAAATGTCGATACGAAATACGAAAATTCGATCTTTGTTCCAAAAGGAAGATAATCGAATAGATTCCCGGGGATTATTCTTGGAAACTGTTGGCGATGCGATTCTTCGCATAATCGCAGATGCTGTCTCTGTCTGATATGCTAGAAAGAAAGAGACAGCGGATGCGATAAACACGAGAATCGCAAGACCAATTTCATTTCTGCTCATTATCTTTTCTAATGAAGAAGGAAATGACAGATTTCTGATGAAATTACTAAAAAAGCTTTAATTTTAACGTTGAAAAATCCTATTTATTTGGTAAAAAAAATTGAAAATGTATAATTGAAAAAAAAAAGGAAATAATTTCAAAACTGAGACCGGCAGATGAAAGCTCAAAAACCGAGTCCGGTTCGAAAACCGGAGAGGTGGCAACCCATAGCAAAGTTCACTCTATACGTTAGGAAACATACCTTCAACAATGAAGTGGCTTGTGCTACTAACAATCAATGATGCTTGTGCTTTAACAACCAATTGAGTGCCTATACAAAGCTATAAAAGTCTCAAATTACTCTACGTTAGTTAGAAACTTTGTGATGCGAAAAAGAAAAAGGCTGTTTTTAGTTTTTTCGCAATTATTCGAATTTTCTCGACGTAAAACCATCCTTGAACTTCAACGAACATTCTAAAAAAATAATTGCCCAAATGTCCCAGGCGTTGTTGAGTTATGCGCTTACCAACACATTTTGCGATTCATTTTTATTATATATATATATTTATATAATATATATATATATATATTTATATATATATATATATATAATTACAGGTATAGGGCAGAATATATTGTCACATGACTTGAAAAGTAGCCAACCGTAACAAACATATTATACGCAGATTATAATTTTGTAAAGGAGATTGTTTGAAACGGCGAGATCCGA